CTTGGTGTATAAAGGTATTTTATGGAGATGATTGAACGTTTATTATATTTCAGGGGTTTTCTTATTCTAAATTGCCAACAGTAAACAAATTATATAGTCATTCAATAGAATATTATGCAGCTACCAAGCATGATATTTACCAATAAATTTGAAGGAATGCTCATAGATCCTTAAGCAACCCCTTTCTACCCATGATTTCTATTCCTTGCAGGTAACCAATATCAACTTTTGGCAATTCTTCTGGTATTTACTTACATATGTCCTTTCTACAATCTCATGTGGGAATTTACCCGCATGCGTGCATGCGCGCGCACGCGCACACACACACACACACACACACACACACACACACATTTTTTTCTCATTTATTTCCTTAGTATATATTTTTAATAGTATTTATCTTAATTAATTTGAAGTGTTTCCTTTATTGTGAGTATTTAAATATTCACATTGAAGCTATTTGAAATATTGTGATTACTTTTCCTTTTTTGTATACCTGTTTATTTTTGTTGAATAGTTTATTTTTACTACTTACTCAATTTCTTTTTTTATGTTTATTTTATCCACTTCCTCAGTTTCTATGAATCTATCACTCATTCCCAAATTCTTCTACAGAAATATAAATTCTTGTGTTCTGATACATCAGGTTATCTATCAGTTTATTTTTTCCTTGAACCCATTCTTCTTGAGGTTCTCTGTCTTCTTGGTCCTATTTTAGCTTCCTCAGTATCTTGCGTCTATCTGATTTCTCTCCATACCTTCATTATGCTGCATTGTAATTGCATATCAGATACCCCTACTACACTCAGTTCATGGGACAGTTTACTTCATTTAAATGTACTTAATGCTAATAAGAGTACTAACATAATATGGACTGTTGAGTTATACTTAAATTTTCTACATTCACTCAGAAATCTGTAAATACATTGAATACATTATTAATATGTGATTTCCATATTTACTTTTATTCCTAATTCAGACTTTCATTTTTCAGCATTAAGATTCTTCCTGGGCATATAACACTTTAAATCTGATTCTTTAGCCATGTCTTGTTTTATTCAGTAAGTGAGAAATGAATTCTCTGAACTCTTGATTGTTCAGAAAACTGCCTTAGGATTAAAAAGTCATAGCATAATTAAAATATCTGTGAAACACGGATTACTAGAGAATTCATTCTATATTTTCATTTTCAGGGGACGATTATTTATTATTTCCACCAAAGCAGGATCTCTTGGCATTAACTTGGTAGCTGCTAATCGAGTGATTATATTTGATGCTTCTTGGAATCCATCATATGATATCCAGAGTATATTCAGAGTTTATCGCTTTGGACAAACTAAACCTGTATATGTATATAGGTTCTTAGCTCAGGTAAGTTTATAATTTATATTCTTTTTTTATTGTATTGTTGGGTGAAACAATATTTTTATTTTTGGAATGAAGAATATATATGTATTAGAGAGACAAACAGAGTTGAAAACATCATTCCTATATATAAAGCAGCAGCAGTCAGTTTTGGAATATCACATTTTTCTGTTTGTTGTTCTTTCATATCTTGACATCTATAATGTCAACTTTCTCAGACTGAGATGGATTTGCATGGGTAAACATATTTAGCTTTAAAAATTTTTTAACATAATTACAGATATCCCTTATCTCCCCCACCCCTCCTTTTTTTTCCCCTTTACCCACCTCCCAGGCTTTATCTCTCCCCCACTCACCTGCCAGGGAAGGGGGAGCTTCACCACTGTTGTGTCCTTGGGCTGTACATACCCTGTTTCCCCGAAAATAAAACAGTGTCTTATATTAATTTTTGCTCCCAAAGATGCGCTAGGTCTTATTTTCAGGGGATGTCTTATTTTTCCATGAAGAAGAATACGGTACACATTTATTGTTAAATGAAGACAAAGGAAATTTATTACCTGTATACGGTACAGTAGTACGGTAGTTGTCAACACAAATCAGACAAACTGTGAATCCTACAGTGTCAAGAATTTACTCATTCATTCAATGACAATCATGTCATCATCTTCTGGAACATCATCATAACAATCAATTCCTGAATTTCCTGGTGAATTTCTTGTGACTCCATTTCTTTCAGAATCAGTGGACCAAAATCTCTCATGTTCAGCCTAGTGGGAGGGGGAGGGACTTATATTTGGGGGGATGCCTTATATTTCACTCACAAGGAAACCTGTAAGTAGGTCTTATTTTTGGAGGATGTCTTATTTTCGGGAAAACACGGTATATGTTCTTTGGCTAATCCCTTTACCTTCTTTCATCCAGTTGCTCTCTACCTCTCTCCCCATAGCGTTTTCTGGCTAGTTCAGGAAAGTTAATCTTTTTTTTTTTTTTTTTCCATTAAATTATTATCTGGGTACATATCTTACCCGCCCCCCCTCCCCATTCATTTATAGTTCTTTTACTTAACATACATAGAAAAACCAATAACTAAATCTAAATTGCTTAAAGAAACAAAGGTCAAATGATCATTGTTTTTAGTGGCCACCAGAGTCTCCTAATTTGAGGAATGTAGATTCCTCAATACAAAGTAAAAATACAAAGTTAACTTATGATAATAGCTTTTGGAGCATATGCTACCCTTTCTACATGCCTAGAACTCTGGGTTTCTCAACCTGAAACTGGTTTTTATTGGTAAGTCCTTGCTCATTTGATGATCTTCTTTAGTACACGGCATAACTGGTAAATTACATTATAAACTCCTTCCTATTATTTATATTAAGAACTCCTTTTTGTTCTAGTTTAGAATGCTAAATATGTAATAGATATGACATTTTAGCTGCATTTTCTGTCCTGAAATTATAGAAAGTAAGACTTGATATAAAGTAATTTTATAGTGATTACTGAGAGCTTAATATAATCCATTGAAAAGTTATTAAGCTGCCCTCTTGCAATCTTACTTCAATACCCCTAAATTCTTATTTTATGTACTGATTTATTTCTGTTTACCTTGGTACCTAACTGCTTTCCTACTTCTGCCAATTTCAGAAATATATAAAGCAACATATGAATCATATTAATAAGATAATAGAGAATGATTTTTGTCAAGATAAACTATATTCAGCAAATGAAATGTCTCATGAATTAAGTAGCACTGCTAATAAAATTTGCTTTATGGCAGATATTGCTATGATGTTTTGCCATTTCATATTAACCAATAACTATATTTCCACTTGATTAAGTTTTGTGTTTACATAATTTACTTATTTATATAATGTTCCTTCTTTTTACAAAGGGAACCATGGAAGATAAGATTTATGATCGGCAAGTAACTAAGCAGTCATTGTCCTTTAGAGTTGTTGATCAGCAGCAGGTCGAACGTCATTTTACCATGAATGAGCTTACTGAACTTTATACTTTTGAGCCAGACTTATTAGATGACCCTAATTCAGAAAAAAAGAAGAAAAGGGATACTCCCATGCTGCCAAAGGTAAGCATCTTTAAATTAGTAGCTCAAAAAAATTTCATCATGGACTAAGGAAATTTTACTACTATAAATCTGACTACGGCTATATATCAGAATTTTTCAAACAGTGTAAAATTGTGTTTATTTTTCAAATGTATTTTTTATTGACTTTAGAGAGGAAGGGAGAAGGAAAGAGAGATAGAAACATCAACAATGAGACAGAATCATTGATCAGCTGCCTCCTGCTTGCCCCCCACTGGGGATTGAGCTGGCAACCGGGAATGTAACCACAACTTCCTGGTTCATAGGTTGATGCTCAAACAAAGAAACACACCAGCTGGGCAATTAAAAAATATATATTTTAATTGAATTTATAGGTTAATAAAATTATACAGGTTCCATGTATTCAATTCTTCATCTGTATATTGTATTTTCTCCAATTATTTTTTTTAAATCCTCACCCAAGGATATTTTTTCCATTGGTTTTCAGAGTGGAAGGGAGGGGAGAAGGGAAGAGAGAAAAAAACAACAGCACATCGATGTGGGAGAGACACAGCCATTGGTTGCCTCCTGCATGCACCCCAACTGGGGCTGGGGATTTAACCAGCTGGCAGCCACTAGGGATGCTATCAGTGTACAAATTTTGTGCACTGGGCCTCTAGTTAATACAGAATACCTATACCTTTTGTTGTTGTTGTTGTTAATCCTTACCTGAGGATATTTTTCCATTGATTTTTAGGGATATTGGAAGGGACGGGGAATGAAAGAGAGAGAGAAACTTCAGTCTGAGAGACACATTGATTGGTTTAAAAGCACATTGGTTTAAAAGCCTTTGGTTTAAAAGCCTCCTGCACATGACTCAACCAGGGCTGGGGACCGAGCCTGCAACAAAGATACATGTCCTTGATTGAAATCAAACCTGGGGCCCTTTAGTCTGCAGACTGATGCTCTATCCACTGAGCCAAACTGGTTAGGGCTACCTCTACCTTTTAAAAACAACTGCATAGTGTTTATTTGCCTTGTTTTGTTTAACTCTTGTATCTCCAACACCTTTCCTATCAGTTACTTAATTGCACATATGTTTATGTTTATAATTTTAAGGATAGTGAAATCTGTTTTCAATTTGAGAAAGATCATATATTCAACTAGCACCATGGTTGGCAAACTGCGGCTCACGAGCCACATGCGGCTCTTTGGCCCCTTGAATGTGGCTCCTCCACAAAATACCACAGCCTGGGCGAGTCTATTTTGAAGAAGTGGCGTCAGAAGAAGTTTAAGTTTAAAAAATTTGGCTCTCAAAAGAAATTTCAATTGTTGTACTGTTGATATTTGGCTCTGTTGGCTAATGAGTTTGCTGATCACTGAACTAGCATATCTCCTAAAATTTTACTTTACTTTAAACTTCAACTTTTATGATAGGAAGCAAACATTCCAATTTGAAAAGAGGTGATTGACTTGAACTTATTTGCTAAATGGTAAATTTCTGATTATATGAAATCTGTTTAATTTGATAAATATTTGTTGATTATTTGCTGACTTTGGAGGTGTACTGTGAGGGTACACTAATAAGAACAAGACATTGTGTATGCTTTACACTTGAGTTTAGCTAAAAGGTTGAGAAGTGACATGTTGTCTATGCTTTAAAGAAGATTTTAAAAATCTGCAGGGAAAGAAATGCTATTTAATTATTATTATTATTTTAAATATATTTTATTGATATTTTTACAGAGAGGAGGAAGGGAGAGAGATGGAGAGCTAGAAACATCGATGAGAGAGAAACATTGACCAGCTGCCTCTTGCATGCCCCCTTCTGGGGATGTGCCCGCAACCAATGTATTATACATGCCCTTCACCAGAATTGAACCAGGGACCTTTCAGTCTGCAGACCGATGCTCTACCACTGAGCCAAACTGGTTTCGGCTATTTAATTATTATAGGATGTCTGGAAATAAACCGTCAGTGTTATAACTTGGCATTCTGAGTCATAAAATATGTCATGCTTTTTCATTTATAGACTTTACTGTATTTTGATTTTGGTGCTGTTACCTTCGCTCAAGAATAAAAAGGAAAAGGATTATTACATGCTACATTAGCACAAAGTGTTTCAACTCTCCCAAAGGTTTTTCCAAAAGGAAAATAATAGTTAACTTATGGATTTCTTACTGGGTTTCTTATTCTTTTGTTCAAATTTCCTTCCTTAATCCAATAGGAACTGCAAAACTGATAGAGTTATTTTCATTTTTGAGGTGAGGAAATTAAGGCTTGGAGAGGTTATGTAACTTAACTAAGTTTATAAACTTAATTAGTGGGGAAGCTAGCCTTCAAACCAAATCTGCCTAACTTGAAAGCATGCACTCTTTATCATATTTTATTACCCCTAAATGGAGATTAGAAAGTTAATTCCAAATGCAAGAAATAATTCAGAGGACCTGGGATTTTTGGAATTAAGTGACGTGTAGAATGCATTTTGTTTTAAATAAAGCTGGATTTTAAAATATAGAATAATTTCACAGAAAATATCATTGTGTGATATAAATGTTAAGATTGTATAATATAGCCAGTTTCGCTCATAGCTTGTAAATTCCTCCAACTTATAGGAAACTATAAAGTTTACAAAGGTCTTTCTTATACATATTTAGTATCTGAAGAAACTGAAAGTTAGATAAGTTTGTGATTACCCAAGGGTATATGGCCAATACATGTTAGAGCTAGAATTTAACCCAGTAGTTTTCAAATTATATTCCACGGTGCCCCCAGGAGATCTACAGAGGTGGTCCGGAGCTACCATGTGGCTCAGTGAGTACAGAAAGGCCAGATAGCTAGCTCTTTCAATCAGTTTTATTCGCTCATTTTTATCTCTTTTATATATTGGGTTGCAACATAAGATTTAATTTAAAGAGAGGCTGTTACTGCTTTTAAAATATATTTTTATTGTTTTTAGAGAGGAAGGGAGAGGGAGATAGAAACATCAATGATGAGAGAGAATCATTGATTGGTTGGGAGTTTAATTCCCCTGGCCTGGTTAGGGCCTGTGCAGGAGGCAACCAGTGTGTCTCTTTCACATCAGTTCCATTCTCATTCATATTCTCTCTCTCTCTCTCTCTCTCTCTCTCTCTCTCTCTCTCTCTCTCTCTCTCGCCCCACTTATGCTCCCCCCCAGTAGATAGTACCGAATCCAATATATACTATGTTTTTCCTATACACCCATGCCTTTGATAAAGTTTAATTTATTAACCTAAGCATAGTAAGAGAGTAACAATGATAACTAATAATAAAATAGGTATGATGAATAAATTGGCCAGATGAAGAGTTGAAATTGAATGGGTAAGGTGGGGCCAGCTTATGAGAGCCATGGAAAGTAAATGAAGGTATTTGAATTTAAAATAGTATTCATTATAAGTTTATGAATGGTGCTGTTGTATGTGAATGTAGGCTTTTGAAAAATTAGCCGGGCAGTAAAAAGCAAGATGAGGACATACAATAGGGTAATGATTATGGAGTAAATCAGAAATTTCAAGAAAATAATTGATATAACTTAATAACTGATAATAGGTTTTAGCTTTTAATCTGTAAGCAATAAATAATTTAAATAATGAAGCTTAGTTTTTCATTCATTGATTTAAAACTTTTCAGGTATCTGTGATGTGCCAATATTTTAAGTATAAATTGATAATTAGGACTAGGTTCCTGGTCCTAAGGAGCCTATAGTCTAATGAGTGTATCCTAAGCAAATAAATATAAAAATAAAAATTTTGGAGTCTATAATTGATATCAGTACAGGCACCAAGGAAGGAATATTTGGTTCTTTCTTGGAAAAGTTTGGGATAGGGAATTGACTGATGTTGAAAATAGAAGTGGGTGGCTGTTTGCAATGCTATGAGGGTACAAGGTGAGGCCCTTCAAGAACAGAAAAGGAAAAAAATGCATAAAATAGCATGGTGAATTTTAGGAGTCTCAAGTAGTTAAACATAAATAATGGAGTGTAAAAAAGTAGTGGTAGAGTAATGGTGGGTGTGAGAAGAGAGGAGAACAAAGACTGACCATAGAAGTTAAAGAGATTGTACATTGTGTTATATGTTTGGGATCTATTTAATGATTTTTAAGCACATGACAAACATCAAATTTTCATTTTAGAAAAGTCACTTTCTGTGTTAGTGTGCAGAATAGATTGGATTAAATAAAATGGATGTTAAGATACTTGTTTGTATGCTATTAAAATTATCCAGAGGAAAGGGGTAATGCAGTCTTGAAGTAAGATGGTAGTAGTGGGATAAGAGAAATACCAGGCCCAATGTATCGATAGGTACTCTAAAAGGGGAAGTAGGGGAGACTCCTGCAATAATGTCAACACTAAAATTAATTTAAATAAAAATTATTGACTTTGTTTCCTACATTTATATTTAGAATATTATATAACTCTGTCCACCACTATTTGACTTGTATTTCCTTTAAGAAGAATTTGAAAATTGGTCCTCTCTGAAAATGGGTACAAATAGGTGTTTTTGATGTTCTTAGTGAGGAATTTCTTGGTATTTCAGCCTGCTCTTAAAGACATTTCAAAGTTGGTTCCTATTATTATGGTACAATTGCAAACACCTTTTTATATATAATTTTTAAGATGAAAGACTGCTAAAAATGATACATTTTCATTTCTCCCTCAAATTGGTATTTAAAAAAATGATTAAATTGCATGCCTTTTTGTTTTTCCCCCCTGTTTTCCTATGATAGTTCTAAAGGTGTTTATTTTAAACTTACTTCATATGCAGTTATATCTTTCTGCCTAATCACTTCCTCTTTAAGTCATTATTATGTAACTCCTCTTCCTGTATTTCTGTTCTTGTTTACTTTCTTCTACTTCTCCACTTTTCAGTTATATTTGATATCTCAGGCTCACTTTGTTAACTTGTCTTTTTACTTTTGCAGCTATTTAAAGGCAAGAATGCTATTCTTTGCTCCTTTTCTTTCATTCATAGTGAATGATACAATGTTAGCAGTTTTATATAGCCTGTTTCAAAATTCTAGTCACCTTTACAGTGATATTTAATGACTTTTTATTGTTTCTTAATGATCATTGAAAGTGGTGGTAGAATTAGACTTACTTTTGCAAGCAATAAAATTGAAATGAAGTGATTTATCTGTCACAGGTGTGTGAAAGGTAGGGAACTGGAGCTTTAATTTGGGTCCTCAGTTGTATATACTGAATCAGCTATGTTAGCTCTATTCACCATCCCATCCCATGAATTATATTTTGTTAAATCCTCTCTTTTTTTTTTTTTTTTTTTTTTTTTTGCTATTGTTGGTATTGCTGCTTTTGTGATCCTATTTTTTTTTTAATATACTGATATTAGGATCTACCAAATCATGTCTATCAGTAGTCTGTGCACATCTTTAGTTGTTCAGGGTAATAATATTCCTCTGCTGTTTTAAGCTACACCATGATTTACTAGTAAACTTATGAATAGTTTTAACACAGATTTCTAGTGATAAAGATTTGTTGAGTAATTCTTAACTGTTATTAAGATATCAAGATAATATCTAGCATCTGGTAATGTTTACATAAATTATGTTAGGGCAGGTATCTTTTCTGTTAATAAACTTAGGAATTACACAGATATCAGAGAAGAACATTTTGGTCAAGGTCATATTTCATAATATGCTTAAGTGGGAATATAGCCTAAGCTCTGTACCCTTTATTAAGAAAATGAAAGTCAGTAAAATTGGCATAAAATTTTTTTACTCTTCCTTTTTCTAGCACTACACTACATGTGTCTTTTTAAATGTGGGCTGTGTATTGGTAATTACAGGGAGAACAAATGAAGATTTAAAGTACCCAAAGTGAGGTTTCAGGTTTTTCTTCCTCCACCCTGATGTTGTGTACAATTCTCTCTCTTTGTCTTTAGTCCTTTATTCAATTTTAAAACCTCAAAGCATAGTTTAGTGAACAGAGATATTATTGTACAGTTTTATAAGCCAGCAGATGGTAATATAAGGCTTTACCTTATTCACACTTAACATTAGAGAGAAATTTACTTCATTAAAATAATTTGATGTGAAATGTAAAATAGCTAATCAACCTATTTCAGGAATTTGCATACATTTACTTTTGACAATAAAGGTTCAAAAGGACTCATTTAATTGTAGGACAAGTAACCTATAGTTTATTAACCACACGGTGGCATATGACCCCAATTTTTGTTGAAATGTACCTCTAAGGAGCCATGCAGTGTCATTGCCTCCTACTTCTCTGCATCTTAAAACAAGTTTATATATTTGTATTCCCTGACATAAAAATAATCATCTGAATAAGAACAGATCACAGAAATCATAATAAACTCTAGAGAAATTGTTTTAATTCTCCCATTTATTTATAAGTTATAAAAGATTTCCTATTCAGTGTTTGCTGGGATGGTTGATGCCAAGTAAAATGAGCAAATGGTTTAAGTCCTGTCCCTTTCCCAAGTAACCTACCAACCACCATCTTTAGGGTGTAATTTTAGCAAGACACATAAGCTTTCCAAGCTTCATTTGCCTCAATAAGATAAGAAGATAGTAGGACCTACCTCAGAAAGAAGCTAATCCATGTAAAGT